AATATTTTATTGGCCATGTATGTGAGCCTAGTGTGTAAAAATTCAGATCTAACATGTATATGAAAGGCATGGCCTTAATTTGGAAAAGTCAAAGCCAAAATCTGTTCAATATGACTAAGATTATATATACTTGGTAATTAGAGAACTGTGTGCTAGAGAAAAAAATTCATTAGAAGAGCACTGCATTTATTGATTTTGATTTTTTCAATAATTTCTGAAATTGGCTTGTGATGTGTGTTTGTTGTATATAGTGCTATGGTGTCTTCCTCCCCTTCCCTGCTTCTCACCACTGACTTCCCACAGGCTGCTTATGGGTTTGTGGTTTCGTTTCCAGCTGGCAATGCCATATAATATGCTGGATGACAATGACATGAAATTCTATGGAACGTCATAAAGTGTAAACCACATCATTGATGGAGAGAAGCTGTGGGAGGGTTTGTAGAAGAACTCTGGGCATGAGACATTGAGACGGTTTGCACAAGAACAGAGAAGAAAAAAGGCTGCTCTAGGTAAGATATGAGAGCAGAAACAACAGACTTAAAGGTAAAAAATAGGTATGAGATGAACAGAGGGTACAGATGAGAATTCCCTGCAGTAGAAAGTAACTCTGCCGGTATCATGAGGATAATTCATAGGCAAAGTGGATCCTAGTGGCTTGGACTTGCAGGGGTATGTGTGGTATAGGCTTGATTGGTTAAGGGAAATCTCTTATAGACATTTGTATAGAGAAGTGGCATAACAAAGCCATGTTTCCACCTGTGTTGCTCACTTGTAAGTCAGGTACAAGCTTTTGAGATAAGTGTCTGGACATAGGAAACATCAGAGAACCAAGATCTGTTTCAGACCATATGCCCATTTGAAAGAATAACTAGCAGCAGAAAACACTTATAAAGTGGCCTGTCTGCTTCAGATCTGACAGCTCATGAACAATGAGCACACAGGACATAAGCCTTCTGAAGGGTTCAGTGTTACAGTTGAAGAAAAGGAGAAAGTACTTGAACACCTGACACTGGGCTGAATATTCAGAAGAATGTCAGATGTCAAGATGAGTGCAAAATGGAAGGAAAGGGTGATAAATCAGAAAAAAAGGAAGTTACTTTAGTTGAGGCAAGAGGATAACAATAGGAAAAAAAAACCAAACATCATATTAAACTGAAAAGAAAAACAGATTTTAGCTTCTTAAAGCTATTTCTTTATAAAATTACAAATAAAATCTTAAACCTTGGAGTTTCTTTATTCATGTATTTATTTTAAAAAACTTGCTGTGATTTAGTGACTGATTAACATCAAGATTCAAAATAAAAGTGAATCTTTGGTTTTAAGCTAGAGCAATTAAGGAGTGGGAAGCAATTTGAAGTAGTGTGAAAGGAAGAGTGATGGACCATACAGGTATCTACATCCTTGTCCTGAGATTCTATGGATGTGTCAGGTTAAATAGCAAAGGAGAATTAATGTTGTAAGTGGAATTAAGGTTGCTAATCAGCTGAACTTAAAATAGGAATATTATAATATAGGTGGTCCCAGTGTAATCACCAGTGTCCTTAAAGTATGAAAATGAGGAAGCAGAAATGCTGATATCAGTGATGCTAAGGTAAGAAAGACTAGACTGGATGTTGATGGCTTTTACAATGAAAGGGATCATGAGCCAAGGAATGCAGGTAGCTGCTAAAAAGTAGCAAAAACAAGGAATTGGGTTCTTAAGACCCTCGGAGGTGAACTAGCCCTGTGGATACCTTGATTTCATCCCTGTGAGGCTCATTTTAGATTTCTCACTCCAGAACCACAAGAAAATAAATTTAGTTTATTATAGCAATAATAGGGAATGAGCACAAGCACTTCAGGGAAGGGGAGATGAATTACCATTTAGTAGTGGAAAAAGCATTAGGTTCGCTATTTGAAATATTGACTCTGCTCATGGGGAAACTACTTAACTTCTTTGAGTCTCCACATTCTCATCAGTTATGTCCTTTGCATGTAGAAGTCTTGTTGTTGATCCCGTGTATACCTCTCTACTTGTCCTTTCTCTTACTCCTCCTTTCCTTCACATGATTCTTAACTTGCTGATGTTCTCCAGCATTCTGACTTCCCCAGTTCTGCTTCCTGACTTTACACTTTAGTAGTGATTCCAATTGTCATATATTTTTCTCCAATGATAAACACATTTGTCTATGCATATATATTTCCAAATGACTCCAGCACTTTTACAAGGACTCAATAAGTTCAGTTTGTTTGAAAACAAATTAACCATGTTCATGTTTTCCCCACCCCGTTTTAAACATCCCAATTCCAGTTAATTAAATGCTTTTTAGTATCTAAAACATCAATGCTTTACTTCTTCCAGTTAATTAAAATCACATATTTTAATCATTTTTTTCATCATCTTCATCGAGGAGAAGAGGTCTGGAAGGGAAATTAACATTTATTGAACAATCAGTACATGTCAGATATTGAAATATTTTCTTACTCATGAAATGGGAATTTAAAAGAAATGTTAAACCATGATAAAGCACCAAGCTTCACTGCACCTCTCTCAGCATTCAAGCAAAGGCATTCACCACTTATGGAGGGTAGAAGATACCATATTGATCAGTGATTGATAGACTTTTTTCCTGCAAATGATCATAATAATTATTTTAATCCTTTTGAACCTATTATTATCTTGGTTCCCCGTTCTTCTTTGGATTTTGATTTGTTTGTTCATCTGTTTCAGTTGATATTTAACGAATTTTTTTAAATGTAGAATCTATTCTTAGCTCACCAATTATATTAAGAATGGATTTGACCCATGCCCTGTAGTTTGCCAATTAGAACAGATGAGACATTGCTGAATTTTATCTACAGTGAGAAAGCGTTACTTTTGTATCAGGGATTGAACCTAGAGGCACCTAACCCTGTGTTGCATCCCCAGTCCTTTAATTTTGTGACACAATTTCACAAAGTCGCTCAGATTCTTGATAAATTACTGAAGCTGGCTTTGAGATCACGATTCTCCTGCCTTAGCCTCTTGAATTATAGGTGTGTGCCACTGCATGTGGCAAAAAAAAAAAAAAAATCCTTGAAATTCATACTTTGTTTATAAAGCATAGTGTTTTCCTTTTAAAATTATAAGTATTTTGTTTTATATATCAATAATTAGTTCTGAAAATCTGTATTATTTTTACTACTAACTATAGGCTAGAGGAATGAATTTAAGGAATAGTCCTACTTGACATGAAGCAGGTATAGAAAGACTGTCTGCAGTTGAGAGATTAAGCCAAGGAAAGAGAAAGTGAGAGAAATGCAGGTGGTAGGACATGAGGACCCTTGCACTTCTTCCATTGCTCAGGTCAAATCACAACAGTTGGCAGACAGAGTTAATGGGATTTTGTTAAGGGGGATTTCAGAAGAGAAGCACTTGTTCTATTCTTCCTAATGTGCAACCTATGCAAATTACAAGCTTATTACAGAAGCATCTTATCTCCAAATGCTTAAAAGTTGATAGAGTGCTTAGCAGACAGTGTTGGTAGATTTCACCTGAGAGAACTTTTCTGAACTACCTAGCTGATACTAAGCTCACAGGACTTTCAGAAGTCCACAGATATCCTGGGAGCAGGATACTATTGTACTGAGAGAACTGGTATGCAACAAAATGGCTTGGATTAAAAAAAAAGAGGGCTTCACAATGTGATCAGAGTGGGATTTTAGGGACCATGGACTTCAAAACAAGTGCAATTCCAATGTATTAAGACAAATTTAGTGGCAGAATATCCAGGAACCAACCCAGAATAACTGGCTAGCTCCCAATGAATAACCATGAGTAACTATAGGACAGTATGGTAGACATTAAATTTAAATTTTTCAAGATTCAATGAGGCAGTAGTGGAGTAAAGGTTAACTTTCATTACCAAATCTTTGATAATCCTCTTATTGTGAGGTGGGAATTATGTCTCTTTCCTCTTGAATCCTATGCTGTGATTGCTTTCACCAATATAATGTCAAAGAAATAATATGTTGCAGGTTTTTATGAATAGGCCCTAAAGAACATACAAGGTCATCTTCTTGCCTCTTGTAGCACTTGCTCTTCGAAGAAACTCCAAACTCAATATATTGAGAAACTTAAGCCTCATGGGGATGTTACATGGCAGGCATTAAGATTCAGAACCTCAGCTGAGCTGCCAGTCAATAGCATTCACCCAGTGATGTGAGATAGTCACCTTCAAAGTCTAACTTGTTGATTCTTTAGATGTCTGTAACCTCAGATGACTTTTGACTATGGATAGATGAGTGACCTCAAGTGTTAAATCACCAATAGAGCACAAGTTAGCCCAAACAGCCTTAAAAGAAAACACAAAAACAATACCCAAACTGCTGAAGTCTTAGCACAGATCAAGTCTGGGGCACAAAACTGCATTAAAAGTCATTGAGTTCTTTACTGGCATGCACTTAGATTAAAAACCTGCCAAATACACTTAAGAGTGTCCTTGAGGAAGAAGTAAATATTGATAACTGTATAAATTTTGACCCTAGAGTACATATCTTTTCATTTTTGTGCACAAGGTTCTATGTGACAGGTTATGATGCTTTTCTCAAGAAAAAATACATTTCTGACTTTTTGAGTTGCAACCTAAATTAGCTGTTTCTATGTTGTATCACTGTGTTTATTTGAAACAATTGACAGAGAAAGTATGGTTATTTGGCTTGGGAATCATATAGAGACTTTTTTGAAAGTGAATAAAGTGAGCTTATCATTTCAAGAAAAATAGCAGACTATATATATTTCCAGTAATTAAAATAAGAATTTTCAAGGAAAAAAGTAAGTTTGGTATGATAGACAGAATGATATTCCCTCTCTGCAAGTTAAGAGAATATATGAACATAATATATTCTGTGAAAAAGGGACTTTGAAAATATAATTAAGATTGCAAACCTTAAAATAGGGAGATTATCCTGGATTTCCCCATTGGGACTAATCTAATTACATAAGCCCATAAAAGCAGGGAACGTTCTCCCTGTGGAAGCAGAAGAGATACAGCATAAGAGGACATCAGAGAAAATAAGAAGTTCTCTACATGATATTGCAGGTGGAAGATGGAGAGAGCCTCATGGTGAGCAAGGCAGGGGTCTAAGGACCTCAGAGCTTTCCTGGTTGAGGGGTTTTGGGGAATCAGGGTTTGCAGACCCACAGCCTCATGTTACTGGATTCTGCCAACAATCTGATTGAGCTTCAAAGCAGAGTATATCCTAGAAACTACAGATAACAGACCAAGTTGGCCAACACCTTGATTTCAATCTTGTGAAACACATAGCAGAAGAAACAGCTGAGTTCAGTTGGACTTCTAAATGACACACTGTGAGATCATAAACTTGAGTTCTTTTAAGATGCTAAGTTTTGGTAAGTTGTTATAGCAACAATAGAAAACTAATGCATTGAAAAAACTTATTTTCTACCTTAAGCTTGACAGATGTTTCTCATGAGAACAATGGTGATATTAATATGTTTTTTGATGTATTGCATAATAAAATGTGTCAACATCTGGATAATCTGCATAACTCATTCAACCAATATTTTCCAAAAGATGTTACAAAGTCATGCATGAGAGGAAACTTTATTCAAATTACAGAATAAATTTGAGTACAAAATAAATGCAAAACTCATTTATACAATTTCATTTTATAAAGGTACTACTTTTAAGATTTCAGTTGTTTAGTGTTGTTGCAAGTATCGAAAAAGAGATAGCTATAATTATGTGAAAAGGCCAATATTTCAACTAAAACAACATACCTCAATGAAAATGAAAAAATATTATGAGACTCAAACTGCATCTATTAAGCAAGACATGTAGACATTGAAGAGATTTGCAAAACATAAAATAATGACATTCATAGCACTATTTGGGGGAGAGAAATAGAGTTATTTTCCATAAAAGTTATTTGTTTTATATGTAAAGAAGCTTTGCTGTTATTTTTAAAACAAAATGCAAATGCATTAAATAAATGCTTTAAAATTCCTAATATGGTATATATTGGTAGTATACATAAATAGCATAACTCACATGAATAAATCTTTTTAGATTTCTTAATACTTTTTGATACATAAGGGATCTTGAAATCAAAACTTTGGAAACCATGGATCTCTTTAGTCCCCATGGAATAGACTACACATGAAGAGAGGCTACTTCATAGATTTGTATGAAAAAGGAGGAGAAACATTTTTAAGAAAGGGGAGTGAGAGAGGATGCTGACTTCATTTTAATTTTGGGCTTTGAACTACTGAAGAATTCAACATGAAAAAGTATTTTAAGCCAGTTGAAACCTAATTTACTTTGTAATTTCCCAGGTTAAGTTTATCCACTTTGCATTCATCTCTTTTGCCATCAGCAAAGACAGAAAAATCCAGAACCTAATGAGTTATAGAATAAAATAGTATTTTACTTGCACTTTGTAAATCATAAAATCAAGTTTCTGATTCCACTAGCATCCCCCCTTGCTTAGACAGTTACATGGGTCTTCTGAAAAGTGTATAAATCCTTGTCCTCTGAATTTAGGTTCTACTCTAACCCATTGATTTTATGTTTCCTGAATACAACAGCTTTCTTTCCTCCCAAGTTCTGTGCATGTTTTCTTAACTGTTTGAAATGTCCTTTGCTTCTGATATACCTGGAAATCTTATTTATAAACAATCAAACAAAAGAGAAAAATCATGTAATTCTGTAACCTCTTGTCTGAAGTCTCCTTTGACCAACTTCCTTAAGACCTCAGACCAAACATAATTAATTTCTTTCTTCTCTATCCTCTATAACATTTTGCAATTATTTTTACAATGACACTATGAATAGTTTATTTGTAAAAAATGTGAGATTATGCTATTTTCTTGATAAATTGTAAAATTCTGATTCATACTGGCTGTATAGCTTTTAGTCCCCTGAAGTCAGTTGAGATACAGTTGCTTAGGAAGCTAAAGATTCTTTGTAACATAGGGGAAAAAAGTCATTTATTTTCTATTCTTGTTCATTGCACTAGGACTGCTTGGAAGACGGAGATCTATCTTCCTACTCCCAGCATAGTTCTTGGCACATTTAGATGGAGTAAATATGTGTCTGATAAATGCATAAGTGATAAGATATTTGAACTGAATAATCTCTCATTCTAATGATCTAATTCTTTATCCCTTTCTTTTTCTGTGAAACTTCTTTTCTCTTTTCTACCTTCATTATTATTTCTACCTAATTTTGTTTTCATTTTATATTACATTTTTTTATTCTCTCAGATTTTTTCTTACATCTTAAATAAATAAATGCACAGATTCAGAGATTTAGATAACAGCCTCTTTCTCATTTCCCTTTGTATCTCTTATGTTTGCTTAGAGATAAAGAGGAAATTTTACATCATACTATAAATAAAGATGAACCAAATGTTATCATAATAGCAAGGGGATGTCAATTAAGTAGAAAACTATCAATGACCCATTCATGATTTAAACAATTAGATGAAATATTTGTGATGATGAGACTTGTGATCAAATGCTGTCACCAATTAGTTAATAGTGTTGAACCCCTCAAGAAATTAGAAATACCTTGTTTTATTTACCACCTGGATCTAATAAATCCCCTTAAGCTTGTTATATTATCTTGAAAATATACAAAAATAAGAATAAAGAAAGTGAAAGATAACTAAAATGTCAACAGGTACTTGAATATAGCAACACATTTTTATATCAAGAACATTTTGTACAAACATGGTACAAGAATACTGTCACATATACATTTAGCAAAATGTGATAATCCAGTTTTCCTATTAATATTTCTTGGTTAGGTCTCTTATATTTTTGAATAACTGATTGGGAATATTTTTTTCTTTGTGTTCTTATAGGCATATTGTTCACCTAGCCATTCATAAATTTTGAGAAAATTTATCTGGAATCCCACATGAATAATTTTACCCTCATTGTTATTGACTAGGGTATATTCTGACTTGTCAAACATCTTTCTCTGACAGTTTTTTTTCTCTTGGTATTTTAGGTAATGAATGAAAACTTCTGAAGTTTCAACTGTGTTCAATGAAAGTGAAAATAAACTGCAAAGATGGTATCTAGATTTTTACCTTCCTGAAATAATACAGCTTTTTGGACAATGCATTAAGAAAATTAAGGAAGGACATCATACCATTTTTCTAGACTATTCCATCATGCTTTATATTTTATTAGTTTAATTTTTTAATTTATTTTTTGCATAATTGGAAGACTGGATTCTATCTTCACATTTCCAGGATAGTTCTTGACATATTGAGATGAGATTAGTGATTAAGTAATCTCTAGGATAATGAATTACAAATATTTCAAGATATGGTTAAAATAAAATCATTAAATAGGCACCCTGAGGGCAAACACTGGGTTGATGTAAAAGGTGTTTTGTTTATTTATTTTTTGTTTGTTTGTTTTTTGTTTTAAGTAAAAAATAAAATATTTTTTTCAATTAAAAATAAAGAATTTTAAATGGGGAAAAAAACACAAACTAACCTAAATAGAGGCTACAAACAAGTATTATAGCATAGGTGACAGGGATGTTTCTGCATATTCCAAAGAAGAGAAGTTAAAAAATGACTTTAAATAGTATGCAATTAAATAGGAACATAAGGAAAGGAGTTGTATAAAATAAAGGAGGACTAAAAAGACTCTACATTGTAGAATAAAGTTCTTATCCTAAAATAAAGGATAAAGAACACATCTAACATTTCAGAAAATTGAGCCAAGGGTGTGGATGATAAAGTTTAAAAGAGAAATAAATGTCACATAGGAAAGAAGGTGAAATTCAGAGTACAGATAATGACAATTCAACTCAAGATATTTCTGAATAAATTCAGAAAAACTGCAATGGGGAAAGATTCAACTAACAGTATTTCCTAAAAGAAAAATCTGCTATTAACCACTATATACCTAGAACCTAGAAAATGACTGACACATCCTAGTCATTCAATAAATATTGGCTGAATGGGAGAATCAATTAAAGATCCATTAAGAAATATTTAAATGTTGTCAAATGGTAGTACCTGGCCTGAGAATATATTGTATTTAGATTGGAAAATCTTGTTTTTTTAGAAAAATTGAAGCCAAGATTTAAATTGGATGATTTAGCCCTGAAAAATTAAGCTATTTGGGTATACTTAATCCCCATTTCCAAAAGATATCTATTTCTCAGGGCCAGAGGATAACTGCTTTCTTCAAGTAGGGCTATGTATTTCCTGAAAACCTACTCTACTTGTTTATATTACTTATGTAAGCACTGCAGTTACTGGAGTTTGCAACCCTGGCTTTACAAGAAATAAAAAGAATCAGTAAGCCTAAGATGAAGTGCCTTATAAAATTGCAAGTAAAATATCCAAAGACAAATCCATGATTCTTGACACTTTCTGGTTAACTAATTAAGTACAAAGATCAGGAATAAATTCTTGCAAGCATCTATAGTGTAAATATGCATCATTTACCAAAAAGAGAAGTGAAATCAATTCAAAATTTTACTAACAAAAGTACAAGAAATTAACTGATAAAACTACAGAGTTTCAGGAGAAATTATTATAATTAAGAAAGCTTGTACTTAAGTAACATTTCTGAAAATTTAGATGTTCTATTTCTCCTTGATTCAGTTTTGGCAGGTTGTTTATGCTCAGGAATTTTTCTATTCCTGGGTTTCCCGGTTTCTTATCATATAATTGTAAATAGGACCTTTTTGTGATCTTTGCATTTCTGTGGTATCACTTGTAAATCTCCATTTTCATCTCTGATTTTATTTGTCTTCTCTCTTTTATCCTTTATTAATCTAAAGATTTGTCAATTTTCTTTGTCCTTTCAAAACTTCAACTGTTTAATTGATATTTTTATCTGAGTTTTATTTATTTATACTCTGATCTTTGTTTCTTTCCTTCTATTAATTTTGACTTTTGTTTCTTCTTGCTTTTCTAAGCCATTGAGGTACATTGTTAGGTTTTAGAGATTTTTATATTTTTTGGATGTATGTGTTGATTGCTATAAATTTCCTTCTCAATTCTGCTTCTCCTGTATCCCACACATTTTGATATGTTCTGTTGTCATTTTACGTGCTTATTTATAGAGATTTTTATTTATCTTTTAATTACTTGAGTGACTCATTCATCATTTAGGAGCATCCCCTTCAGTTTCCATGAATTTTTATACTTTAAATTCTTCTTATTTTTATTGATTTTTCATTTTATTTCTTTGTGGTCTGAGAAGGTACACAATCAGGTCTTTCGACTTTATTAAGACTTGATTTGTGGCCTAATGTATGATCTGTCCTGGAGAATGTTTCATTTGCTTTTGAGAAAATGTGTATTCTACTGCTATTGGATAATATCTTTCATAAGTATCTGTTGCATTTGCTCTGTGGTATGCTTTAACTCAGGTGTGTTTATTGTGTTTTTTGCCTGGATGGCCTATCTGTTGAGAAAAATGGGGTGTTGAAGTCTCCAAGTATTATTCTTTGGGAGTCTGTCTTTATCTTTAGAACTAGGAATAATTGTTTAATATAAACACCTCAGTTGTCTTGACTTGAGTTTTGTAGTGGTGAGGCATGGGCATCTATGGGTTTATCACAATCTCCAGGTGACTTCTATACAAAGTAGAATATTAGTGATACTAATTAGATAGAGTTATAATGAAGGTAGGCCCTCCCTGCCTCTCCCTGTAATTCTTGCTCCAGCTTTCATGTGCCCTTTTTAGTTAGGTACCTTCTTGTGAGTTAGGTTCTAATGATCCTGGCCTCTTAGTGTTCACTACCCTGTATATCCCTGTCATTCAGTTTGGTTAGACTCGGTGTCTTGCTTCTAAGTAGGATATTGCAAAATTATGGGATGTCACTTCCAATATTAAGTTATAAAGAGACTGTGATTTAGGTTTGAGGCCTGGTCTCTCCTTCCCTCTCCAGTAAATCTCCCTTTCTTAGGATATACCAATTGCTGTGTCCTGAAGTAGACCTATGCAGTGGTCTATAAGTATGGGCTTGGAGGTCTATGTGCTAAATTCTAACAAAAACCGTACAAGTAAGTTTGTAAATAGATGTTTTATCCTCAGGTGAGCCTTAGGATGATTGTTGCCTGTATTGACAGCTTGACTAAAATCAAATCAGAGGACCTTGAGCCAGAGACACCCTTGAACCCTGCTGGAATTCCTATTCCACAGAAACTAGGTGAAAATGCTTGGTTGTCTCAAACTACTAATATGGGGGGGGGTGCGGTATTACATAAGATATAAGTATTCTCCTTTAAGCAAAGGACACAGGATTGTCCACCAGCATGCTTAGGATTCCAACCTTCTTTATGTTATCCTTGGATTGCCATTTCTCTTAATCCCTTCTCTTTATCTTCTTGATTCCCATAGTCTAGTTTTCTTTCTACCTAGGGATCTTTGATTCTTATTTCTTTTTACAATCAGGCTAATTTCTAGATTATGTACTATTACCCTTGATGTTGAGAGTGAGGTAGGTGGCATGGGTTTGCTGCAATTTATACCTTATTTCTGAACACCATTAACATTCAAAATCAAAGTGAATTTGCTACAAGACCCTTGAAAGATGCTAATGTGATAGTATCCTTTCAAGAAATTGGTTGTGCAGGTCTATTGTTCATAGGATTAGAAATTATTTATTTCAGAGTTTCTTGCAAAAAGCAGGCAGAGCTGAGTTCAAAAGAAAGGGTGAACTTTTTAAAGATGAGAATATGTAGCCTGAAAAAGATGGATGCAATGCTTCTGTGTGTCTGAAGAGGGGGTGTGAAGCACAATAGTTTCTTATAAAATCAGTTTGCCACCTGGCCATTCCATAACATTTGCTGCTATCTTCTAATTTGTTGCAAAATTATCTAATTTGAATTTTAGAAAAAGTAACCACTAGTGTATTTTTCCAGAATATTTAAGAATTTCACTGTGTAGTCCAACTCCTAAAATAATTGCTTGAGAGCAAATCCATATGATATGGCAGTAAGAGGGTGTAGAGAGCCTGGCTCTGTCCTCTAAATTTTCCTTAAACCTGCTGAGCTGTGGAGACTGGGTCTAATGTGCTTTGTTGTGGTTTGAACCTCTGCTGGGAGTACATGATTAAGAGTGCTCTAAAACAACGCTGGCAAGGACTCTGGCCAAGAACCTCCCTGTAGTATACAGTAGCTACAGGATGACTTTGCCAGCAAAAGCCAAGTCAACGGATTCCTTCTGTCAAAACTACATTTATTTGACACTGGGGAGAGAAAATGACCCGAAGATTCTCTGAATTTTGCTATTTACAACTATTTCTGCTGGCACCATGAAGATAGGCTTGCTGCTGGGCTTTCTATTTCAACCTTTTATTCCCTAAGTTAATCATTAGTGTTAATAGGGTTGTGATGAAAGACATGGGGTCTGAAGTCCAAGCCTGTACTTGGACTAGTTCAAGATTCTAGTGCCATCACCCGCCGTTCTATGCCTTTTCTCAGAAAGCACGGCTCTCAAAGTCTCTTTCTTGTCTCTAAATGGGAATCATGAGAGTACCTAACTCCTCAGGGAAAGTGGGTTATAAAGAAAAATATCTGGAAAACACTTAGAAAACTGGCCAATGAGTAGCACTTGAAAAATGTTAGCTATCAATATTTTGGGTATTATTGATAGTTCTTTTAAATTACCTATAGTCTTTAGTAAAAGATCCTTTTGTGTTTTAATCTTAGTTTACTTTCATAGTTAGGACATTGATCCCTTTTCACAGACAACATAACAAGTCAAAGTCAAATGGTTTAAATTAAAATATTTTCTTAAAGGCATATCTGAACTAAACATATAATTACAAATTTACTCAATGCCATTAATATTTAGGTTATAAAACATATTTTTCATATGATTTTTAATTTAAAATGTAACAACATTCTGTAAATCAGTAAAAAAACTTTTCTATTTATTGAATGAAACTGGGTTCTTCATTTGACTCGGAAAGAGGTTATACCAACTGTAATATTCTTTAGATAATTTTTCTTAAATCAATCATTCCTAATGTTTTATTCATTCCAAATGACAAAGCCTATATCTCTCCTTTACAATTGCATGGATAAGAAAATTTGAGTCCATCATGAAGGACTCAGCTTTAGTGCTTTTCTGATGAAGACAAGGTGAAAGTAGCTAGATATTCATCTTTTCCCTAGCATGATCGACATTTAACTGGGAATCTGAATGTGCATTTTTTCTTTGCTTTGTGTTTTATCCCCAAAGACAATTATAATTCAAGCATCTAAGTACATGAGGGTCAATGTAGCCACAATGTCCTTTGGTTGTACTTTTTGTTATTACAATATACATACTCAAAATTTAGACAAAAAGACTCAGATTGGCAGGTAGTTCCAGATCCTTGGAGCCTTTGGCTTTTGGCTCTTTCCATTAGTCAGTGTCTGGTTGATTAAATGCTACTTAGGATTCTGTATTTAGGGGCATTTACCATAACATTAGCACAAGTCTTTGTTTATTTACTTACATATATTTTTTTATAACTATACTGGCTTTTGGAAAGAACATCTCCATCAGCCTATCTTCTTTGCAAACTATTATGTATCCAAATCATTTTCATAATGACTGAAACTTCTAACCCTTTCTTAAAATAGAATTGCAGTTTTAAAACTTGACTTTGATTCCCAAATGTAATGACAGAATTTAGAACATTCCTGAACTTTAGAAAAATTCCCAAGCAAAGGATGTTTGAGCCATCTGCCCAGTACCACAGCTTTGGCAAGGCATTCATTCTTGAGAGTAATTAAATAAACAATAGGCCAGTCTTGTTGATCTATTTGTTTCAGAACTGTATGCTGTTACTGTGGATTTCTAGCATATTGTAATTTATTAGGCTACTATATATTTTATGCCCAATATAGCTCTATCATTCCCAAGAAAATATATTACAATAATGGAAATTGATTTATTAAATGGCTTATTCAATGATTATTTATTTCCTGAACTAATGTGTTTAATTTTGTAATTACAATAGGGAACAAGTAACCTTCACTCCTTCAGTACATACTGTGTCAGAGGGTGAAAACTGCTATGGAAAAAATAAAGCAGAAGACTAAGAAAAAGGAATGTATGGAGGGCGGCCAGAATAGTATGAGTTAGATAACGTCTCTCTGCAAAAGCAGTATTGGGGTATAGACAATTGAGGGGGCCAGTCAAGATTAGGGTACTCTAATAGATAGGAGCATGATTGGTACATACCCAACTAATGTAGGTGAAGCAAATTGAACGTGGGGAAATTTCTAGGAAACAAATTCAAATGGTGGTAAAGGAGGTATTGTATTGAGCCTTTGAAGAGCATTATAGGGACATTGGCTACTTCTCAGGTTGAGGTGGCAAGCATTGGGAAGTTTTGATCAGAAGAGGGAGATAAATTATCTTGTGTTTAAAAGAACACTTTGTTATACTGTACGAATGGACTGAAAAAGAGGAGGCATGAGAAGAATTTGGAAGGCCGATCAGTAATATAAGTAAGCTGAGAACTAAAAATTGATCATCGGATCTAGCAGTGTAAAGACCACTAAAATGACCTTGACAAGAATGTCTTTGAAGGTGGCATTCAACATAAGCAGACACTGAGATTAACTCTGTTGTGTTGGATGTTTATGAGGAACAGCAGCTGTAAAAGGAGAAAAGAGAAGGTAGGGTAAAGGAAGAAACTGAGGTGAGGTGCAGGCTCAAAGAAACTCGGCTCACCCTGGAGCACCTTGATGTAAATGAAGTGGCAAGGGTATCCTCAACTGGGTATAAATATCTGGATCTTTATAACCTAGGATGAATTGTCACTGTATGTGTATCCACACTGAAGGGTATGTCCTAGGCAAGATCACCCTCTGCCACTGAGGCAAACCCTGAAAGATCTGAAAGCCGAAGTCTATATGTGCAGTGATTCAATAGTGAGGAAAACCATGAAATTGCTGGGGGATATTGCTGGAGCAATGTCTCATGGAAGTTGAGAGAATGAAATCTGATTGATCTTTGGGTAAAGTAGTGTTAATCACAAAAAGTATGCATATAATTGTAATTCAGCTTCTTTCTTAATTATCTTTAGTCAAATTAAATTTGTTTTCTAGATGGAAACCCAGGAAAGGAAATACTTATGCAGTTTTCTTCTATCCAGTTAAAAATTCCCTCTCTGCAATGGTAAATATAGATGTTTTCTTTTACAAATGTCTCATTGAATTATTTATTTTAACAATATGTAAAAATTTCACATTGCCATTATACTTAAAAATTGCTTGAATGGCAGTAGAATGTATAGAATATTTTTTCTGTTTATGAAATTTTGGTTCTGAAAGTTTCTTGAGATATGTGATGATAAATAACATCACATTTTCTTTCTATTCTAGGGTCTGAAATGTACCATTTAGGAGTGAAGGTGAGTTGACACAGAAATCTGGAGTAGAGCAGTAGAGTAATGATTAATGACTCCTAATTGGATGACATATGTTTTTCTTATCAACTCAACTGCTTTTCAAAACAGAGCATGCCAGACACAGGAACACACTAAACCCTACAGAAACAAAGTTTGTAAAATGAGCCACCTATATTCACATTCTGTTTAAGGAAACTTTGTTCTACCTTATCTGGTTTCTTGAAGTCTAAAAACAGAGATGTTATTAAAACTCCTGGCTCCATATTGGACATGATCTTAAACTCTACATTGGAATTGAATAAAACCACCAGGGTTGTTGTTTGTTTATGTGCAAGTAACTGAAAATATTAGGAAACCTGTTTGTTGGGGTTAGGTTTATTTGTTTAGGTGGGTTTAAGTCATGAAGAAGCAGTTTTTGGTAGAGATAACTAATGCAGGCTCAAATTTTTGAGAAGATAGTAAGAAAGGACACAGGATTTTTCTCTTTTGGAGGTCATTAAATAATACAGAATTTACAGACAAATGAGAAAGGCAATTGATGGCCTCTGAATGTTTCCTCCAATCTTAGAATTCTCTTCAGCTCTGTCCCAGAAGCACTGTTTGCTGATGGCTGAACCAGTTTATTTTTCTATGCCTCATTTCTCTTCCTGATAAATTTGTGAATGTTCCTCTAACACATCTGGTGGAATGGTTGTTAATGAAACCCACCCCTAAAGATTATTTTAACCTACACTTTTGGTCCAAGAAAGTTATATTACTTGACATAAAACATTTCTAGAACTTTTGCAGACCTCTTTTTTCAAAATGTGAAAGAGAAGAATACAAATGTATTAAGAGTTGATCATTATTATTAAGGGTTGACCAAAAAGAAAGGAATATAAATGCTTCAGCATTTTCAAGAAGTTAAATGTAGTTCACATTGAATTCCATTATCTTCTTTTTGTTTGTTTTAAATCAAATTTATTTTTACAATTTTCCAATATGCACCAGGCAACCCTAATTAGGGGATTCCATTGCCAGCAATGTTCTTCCTGCCCTGACTTACGCAAATCCTGCTCACTCTTCAAATCACTATCTCTCATTACACATTCTTTGGCTATTTCAGGTCTCATTGATTGTTCTTTACTCACAAATCCAATAGGATTTATAGTTTGCAGAACACTCTTCTAGATTTAATTACACAAGGTTAGTAGTGCTCACCAGTGTTTCAATTGTCTTATTTTGTCACCAACTATATTGTAACCCCTTACAGGTATAGAATTCAGCATCTCCACTGCAACTAGTAAACTGCCCTGCCACGAAAAGTCCCTCAATAAGTGAACTCTTACTACACTGATTCCGTCTTGAGGTTTATAAAGAAATACTCCATGTATCTTTAATACTCCAACTCTTGTTTAAATATGTAGCTTTTAAATCAGCATATATAACCTGTTAGACCTTTGGTTATATTTTTTATGGGTTGACCACAATTTGCATTTTTCCAATAGCAAATCTGGCCTAGGTAATTGGAATTAATTATCCTGAAAGTGAAGTTGGCACTCATTGTTTATTTGTGAAGTCAGTGAAAATGATTAAAATAAAAAATAAAAAATTCACAAGGGAATGCAATTTTTTTCCTTAACAAAAGAATTAAGAAAAAAGTAGTAAGATTTTCTACTTGTTTAATATTTTTTCTTTGATGTTCCTGGGTTATAAACAGCAAGCAAAGGCATTCATTTATAATTAAAATCTTGGAAAGTACTAACCTGGGTATTTACAACCCACCTTGAAAAGAGAGTTTTTGCATAATAGGATACATGTATTTAAATATCAGCCTTTAAATAAACATGTTTGTCACAAAAGTTGAAAAACATGAATGAGGAAGCAGAGCAAATTCAAGGTAGTGTTTTTGGGTTGGGAAAGATCGATGTATCTGCCTTGTTTATCTAAAAAAGAAAAGATCTGAAACAAATATGGTAAAATGATAGACTTCTTTATTTCCAAATTAAGTATATATACACACACACAGAGATAGATATGTATTGATTGTTGTATGTGTTTGAAATTTTATTTAAAGATATCGGCCTGCTATTTTTCATTAAGTTCCCTGTTTTGAAAGATAAGGGATATATTTCAACATTGACACTTTGATCATAATCAATTTAAGTATTGTAATATAATTATACACATAATATATACTTGGTTCTGTGATACTAGTAACCTGTCAACTTCTACTCTAAAGAAGCTTATAAACCAGTATAATTAACAAATAAAGTACACATATAAAATGACTCAATGTATATTAGGAATGCTAAGATTGAGAGTAATTTTAAATGTGGAGTTGGGGTGAGGTGGGAATTCCAGAGATGACATCATACAGAACAAAGGCAAATAAAAAAAAAAAAAAAAAAAAAAAAAAAAAACTCAGGGTGTGAATCATACAATTTAAAGACTGGTTACCAGAGTGCAGGCAAGAGAAATTGAGCTGGCATGCTTCTGTAGGACATCAAGGACACAGTTTTTCCCACAGGCCAATAGAATTTAAAACTGTGCTATAACTTTTTCTACAGTACTGGAGTTTGAACCCAGGAGTGCTTTGCCACTGAGCTACATTTCCATTCCTTTTTACTTTTTTTTTATTTTCAAAAAAAAGTCTCACTAAGTTGCCAACACTGGACTCAAACTTACTATCTTCCCGCTTCAGCTTCCTGAGTCACTCAGATTACAGACATGTACCACCATGCCCAGCTGAGTCCTCACTCTCAAATCTCAATATGGAATAAAAGGATCTAAGACTTTTTTTTCCTAATGCTTTTGTTATATATCATTTGCAAGATGCTGTCTAGCTCAGATTGCCACAAGAAAATACCATAGTTCAAGGGACATAAATAAAAAAAAAATCTATTTTCTCACTGTTCTGGAGGTTTGTTGTCTGAGGTCAGAGTGCCAGCATGGTTGGATTCTGTTAAGGTCTCTCTTCTGGCTTGCAGATGGCTAACTTCTCACTGTATTTACATGAAGAAAAAACATGTAAACTCTTTGATGTCTCTTCTCACAGGCTCTCTGAACACAACATGAGGGCCCTTCCTCAGGATTTCACCTAACCTAGTCACTTCCCAATGGTCCATATCCATATCCCATCACAGTGAAGGTTAAGGCTTCAACATATGGATTTGGGTGCTTAAACCTTCAGGAAGCAATTGTCAGTAGATTTTAATATATTATTTTCAGTTCTTGCTGTAGAAAAAATGCACAAAATAAGGAAGCAGTATAAATTTTCTAAATTATAAAAGCAATCTGTATATTTTTTAAATGATCATTGTGCCTTTCCTCTTTCTCCTAATATAGGTAAAATCTGAATAAAAGTCAACACATTGGAGCGGGTCTAATGGAGAAGCTGATACTGACTGCTCTAGTTTAGTGCTGCCTCCCCCCACCCCCAAATTAAAGCAATCTTTACTATATACCACTGCAGCTACTAGACATACCTGGCCATTGGATATTTCAAATATTTTAGCATGACTGAGGAATTGAATTTTTAGTTTTATTTGATTTTCATTAATTTAAATTTAAATAGCCACATACTAGCTGTTTTTGACTAGATTGGACAGCCTGCCTCTCAAGTTTCATGTGTTTCTTTCCAAGTGGTTGAATTTTTAGTTTTCTCCATGCATTATTTTACATATTGAGGACATGTGGAAATTGAGGGGTATATCATTTCTAACTATGGGAATTACTAATTATTTTGGTAGCCTAAGGAAATTCTTTTTTGAATGCCTACAACTCACTGTATACAAGGTTTTGTAATATTGATCAACAACAGTTCGATTGCAAATTAGATGTGATTCAAAGTCTATGGGTTAATATACTGTGTTAAAAAGGATTGTGGACAAGAGTCTATACAGACTGTACATTCAAGAATGTTTTTTATGAATAATTTTGGCAGGTTATCAAAAATAATCAAATGATGCGTAGCTAACCAAAAAGATGATAACTAAGAAAGAGGTCTTATTACTAAAATGTTGACCTAAAAAGTAATGTGATGTAAAGCTTCTTAGTTTTTTGATAGTGAGTGGAAAACAATTTAAGGTCTTAAACATATTCCTTATTCATTCATAAATACATCTTGAGAATTTTAATGCATTTTCCTATCACCTGACTAAACAGAAAAGCAACACATGATTTCAAATGCTCTGAAATGACTGAAACTTGAAATTGCACAATAGCTGTAGTGTTTAGCTCTGATTAGTTTCAGAAAGCAGCAAGCAATTTATTATGACAGTAATTTAAAGGAAGTCTCTCAACCATTAGTATCCTAGAGCTAACATTTAACATATTCCTCCTTGCAACACTTTCAGAATCATGTATTCTCTTTTCAAATAAAATGCAAACATGAATCTAAGCTATCAAGGAAACAAATGAACCAAATCATGCCAGTGACCCATAAATGAAGCTACTATCCTAACAAATAAACCTATATCATTGAGGGAAAACATGCACATTCAAATGGCAGCAGGAAAACCAAATAGCTACAAACAATATGAGAAAACTAGAGTGGGAAGGATATTTCAGAAGCTTCAAAAGTAATTTGAGAATTTTTTCAAAGATTAATTGTATAAAATTGAGTATAGGTACAAAGCATTCACTATGCAAAAGCATAATAGCTGGAAATATTTTATACAAGGGTGGATGGAGTATAAGTCCTACATTTTCCCGTAAATCTTTTGAGGATAAGAAATTGGTATCTAGTGGTCTCTTCAAACTCATCATAAAAAACATTTGTAATACATTGCCAAATAAACATTAATAGTTTACAATTTATTCTTACTTTCAGTTTCACTGTTTTTCTTTACCCAGATTAAGATTTTAATGTCCCAGAGAAGTGAAAAGGTAAATTCATGTCAGAATGTGTTTGTGTTTTGTGCATGTACATATATATACATGCATATATTTGCATGTGTATTATATACCTATAATTTTAACAATAAATTTAGGCTTATTTATACTTGACACATCTGAGTTTTATTGATATAAAGAATAAAATATAGTTTAAAAATTAAACTATTGAAAAATAATCTGCTTTTGTAAAAATTGAATTTTTTGTGCATTATACAATTCATTTGTTTATACTGCATGTTGAACTTAATACTAAAAATAAGTTTAACATTTGTTAAATAAACTTAAAACCTGGAAATAAGGCACAAAATGACTACGTGCCCTTTTACTGTCATAAATAAATCACTGTCCATTGTGAGGACATCAAACTTTCCAAGAGAATGCAACTTATTTCACTTACTATTTACTATTCTGTGATTCTGTGAATTTCAAAGTTAACCTTGAGAAAATTGATAGAGATAATATGTAAGTTCTTTATTTTTCAGTAGTGATACAATTGATTTCTGTCTTTAGAGAAAATAACTCCCAAGATTATTATTTTATTAATTACTTTTTATAAAACTAACCTTTATTTTCTCTCCAGTTATGTTACTTTTTATTTTATACATTTTGATCATCTTTTCTTATTTTTTTTTTTGTTTTCTCTCTTTGTTTATTTTATTGGCCCATTGTTGAGGAGATGAACAAAACTTTGGCACATTCTTACTATGAATTTATATCACTCTTATACTTTTAACATTTTGTTCATAATCACTTATATTTTGTTGGTAAGACTTTTAAAAGCTAGTAGATTTTAGCTAATGGAATACTTGGCAATATGTATCATTTGGAAAAAACATAAGGTTAAGTGATATTTGAGACTGAGGTAAGCTAAAAAAGCACCATCTCTGTGTGAAATAGCTAATGATTCTCACATACCATCTGTTCCTCACAATCAATGCAATGACCATCACAAGTAAGAGGAGGCAAATCTGTAAACTTCCAATTTAGTAGTGTTCTTAAACCATCATTATCATTAAGGCAAAATTCATTAAATTGTCTGTTGTGCTGAGTCGTATATGGACCAATTTAACAACAGAGTTCTTGCCTCTTGGGAACAGACGAATTAAAATAAATACTAGTAGAAAAATGCAAGGGCAAACTGACATACAAATAAGTTTATCACCAGGAGCAGATTAAATGAAGAAGATGGATATTTATTTTCAAAATAAAAGAAGACGTGCAGCTTTTATTCAGAGTTTAAGACATGCTATAGTTTTTCTGTATAAGCATCTTGTGGCTGGATTAGAATTTTCAACCATACTTTTGGAATTTGATTATAAGATACACTGCAGACATTTATTTTTTGTGTGTGTGTATGTGATTTTTTTCTTTCCTTTTTACTCTGTCAGTCAGATAGTTGTTATTATTGAGAATCTACTGTTTATTCTGGTGAGCAAAAGTCTTAAAAATTTTAAGAGCTCATTTCTGGATTCAAAGGACTTGCTTATATTCTATGTTCTATTAATCACTCTTGTCTAAATTCTATTTTTCTTTTTCTATGAAACCTGTTTGTAAATAATAGTAAAACTCTGCCATAGCCTTTGGGATATTTAAAAACCAAGGTTTGGATATCACATGGGGTCATGGATACTGGGGACATTGCCTAGGGACAAAACTAAGAAATATAGCTACAACAGCTCACTTTGACAATTCCAATTTCAGAGCAGCTTCACAAATTTTTCCTCACCTTCTCATGACTCAGACTTTCCTTACTGACTGCCACAGTGAGGACCTTCTCTAGAATCCATTTCAATGTTCTATCTTAATCCTAATGTTGTTGATATAGGTCATCTCCCTTTTCCCCTAGGTAATCTGATTAAGGGTTTATCAATTTTATTGATCTCAGGAAACAGACTTCTTCTTCTTTTAGTTGAAGATAGGCACGATACTTTTATTTTATTTATTTATTTTTTTAATGTGGTGCTGAGGATCCAACCTAGTGCCTTACACATGCTAAGCAAGCACTCTACCACTAGCCACAACCCCAGCCCACAGCCTTACTTCTGAGCAGGTTGTGGTAGGCATAAGTTGGAACAGGAATCTCTGAGGTCAAACTCTAGATGCAAGAACACTTCTCTTCTCAAATCACATGCACTTGGAGTTCAGGAACTCTCCATCTGCAATTTATGATAAAGGCATTGTTCTTACATATTTTTTAATTTGTTCTAACTAGTTATACATGACAGAATGTATTTTGACACATCATACATAAATGGAGAATAACTTATTTTTGTTGTTGCTTTTCTGTTTTTGTTTGGGAGGAATCATTTATAGGTGGATATTTGAGCAACCAATATTCTCTTTCACTATCTGAAAATTCAGATTATACATTTTAACCTGTTAATCCGGTATTGGTTTAAGAATGTTTTAGTGTAGATCAGGTTACATTACATAGCTGGTGGTTATACAATAAATGCTTAAAAAGCACGTGAACTATTTCATTCTTTAAAAAAGCCTCAAGAATTTAGGAAAGATGGATATTTCTGTTAGTACAATAAATGGTATTTATCTCAAAATGGCTGTCACCAGAATATCCACCACCCAAAACTCAGCATATGCATTAGCATCAGTAGTAAGACAGATATATCAGCTATCATTCTTATGATAACATTGTTTTAAAAGTGATACAGAAAGTAATAAACTAGGCAAAAGAAAGCTATAAAAGTTGAGGAAAAGCACCTTATTTCAAATACTATTTAAATGTACTTTGAGGATTGATCACTTAAGTACTATGTAAGTTTCTAGTTCAGTAGAGACAAAATAAATATGGGCATTTCATAGACTTGTTTAAAACAGTAATAACCAGTTAGAAATTTATTGAAAAGAAAGATTACAGTCCCTAAAGCAAAACTAAGTTTTATACATTTCAAAAATGTAAAAATAACAAATATAACATCAAAACAAATATGGCAAAACCTGAAAATGTACAACAAAAAAGGGGAAAATGAAATACAAATCAAAGTTTAAAACTCAATATTGCATTATTATAAATCCTTCCTAACTAAATTTGAAATCATTTTGGCAAAACAATTTTTTAAAAATCTATATTGTTTCATATTTACATAGTTCATCTGGCAGAATAAATATTGTTTTGAGAATAAAAGAGCTCTTAGTGAGAAATACAATAACAAGTTTAAAACATACTAGTTAAAATACTCTATGATTGAAACAAGAGCCAGTTTAATTGTGTATACATGACAGAATAGTACTGGCCAAGTAAAATATATTACTTATTTTTGTAAATTATTAAATATATTATGAAATTATCAATATTTTTCTATACATAGAATGTTTGGCTAGAAATCAATGTGTATGGTATTAGTTAAATAATTTCTAGCAATCATATTCATTTAAAAAGAACTTTAAGCATATTTTAAATTTCATTTTAACCTTTTTGTATTTTCTAGATGTTGTACAGTAAAAGAAAATTAACTAAATATTTTAAAATTATTTAGGAAACCTTTTGTTCTTGCCAGATGTTTCCTATTAAAAGAATAAGAGATTCACAGGATTTATATATGTGTGTGTTAATGCAGTTTTTATTTATAATTAGAAAATATAATTATTTGAGAATTTCTCAAAAGTTATTTGCTTATATAACATTAAGTAATATTACCTTTTCAAATAAAATCTCAAAGTTCACTGAAAGCCATAGTCAAAATATTGAATGAGAAAGCAGCATAAATCTATAAAATGAGGACTCTTTGTAGCATTTTGAATGTAATTAATATAGCCATTCTGGAGGATAATTTAAACAGCACTTCTGAAATCCACACTACCTAAACTTTCAAAATATCAGAAAGTAGGCAAAACAATGTCCATTATAGCATTATTACATTAGTAAAGAAATGGAAACAATTTCCCAACAGAAGGGAAATGAAAGGAATGTGGTTTCATCACTTGATGAAATCTGAGATAATAAAATGAATTTATTATATATAAATGCACAAAATTTATATTAAATAAAAATCAAGTTTCAAAAAGGCCTATACAGTATTATATCAGTAGTAATTTTTGAGTATAAATATTGATTCAAAAATTTTAAAATACACATGGAAACTATAGTGAACAACTTCAGGATAGAGGGCACCAATGGTAGAAAAGGAAAAATGTTAAGGAATGGACCTGTGGCTGCAACTGTTCTGTAATTCCAGATTTTAAGTAGAGATTTATTAAGTTGAAAGTTATTTGTGTACATTAAATACAGTGATTCAACAGTCTACCTCTGTCTATGTTGTTTCATTCTAACCTATATTGAAGACACATGAGCATAAACTAAAATTCTTACTTGCTAACTGGGCACTTAGGAAAATGTGTAACGTAAGGTATACTCATATGGAAGATTAAGGATTATGAAGTAGGCTATTTGAGAATATGAGTAAGGCAGCCCTGCCTTACCTTGGATGAGACAATCTCTACCCTGCATCTGCCAAAAAAACTCAGAAATTGACCCTCACCTAAGATCTGCAGTTTCGTTTTGAAATTCAAACCCAATATAAATGTTTTAAAAACTGCTTTTAAATATTTCTGTTGTTATAAATTATAATATTTTAATTGCTTATTATGATACAGAGACAATTATAAATTCATGGACAAAGTGCCTAATGATTAGAGATATATCTACTTGAACATATCCAGTGATGAAGTAGTTTCACCTCCTAAAAAACAACTTCAGTTATCCAGTGTTTGAAGTCAGGGGTTAGATATTTATAGAAAATCTAAAAATTAAGTTCCCCTTAACTCAAATATTTCTTTATTATGATGTTTATGAGTATGGGTCCAGATTGAAGGAGATTAAATGCATATGAAGAGTTTGATTTAGTTTAGGTTAAATATAATGGAAGGATGGTAGGATTTTTCTTTTATCCTAAAAGACAGCAATGTTCCAGTAATATTCCAGTTGTTGAACTGGATGAGCTTTCACAAGTGTATTCAATTTGTGATGACACATTGAGCTGATTCTTTATGATTTGTGCACTTTTGGTATATGTTCCTCCCATAAAAAAGGCACTCTGTGGAATTTAAATTTTACAAGTTCAGGGAA